CAAATATAATATATAATATATACTGATATTGTCAAATAACTCATGATTATTTTCAACTCACAGAAAAGAAGTGTTCATAAAAATCAGGAAATATAAGATGGACTATTGGATCAGTGCAGATATTTTTCATAAAAATAGTAAGTGAAAAGGTATGCAGACAAAGTTAGTTTCTAAAGGCTCACTTGTGAAGCAAGGAAAGCTATTTATCAATGGTGAGTTGTACTTGATTGCAACAGCAGAAGAAATGTATTTTGAGAAAATATTCTTGTTTAATACTTTACAACAAAAACAATGGTTTGGAGTATTGAGGTAATTAGTAACACTGAGTCAGCAAAAAGAAGGCCAGTGAGGTCAAGTGATCTTCACTGGTTTTGATGAGTTAGTCTTGATGGTTAGTCTGATACTGCTAACTTGTAGTTTGAGGAAACAGTTGTGAGCTTAAAGTGACTAAACAAATTGGCTTTTGTAAAAATGCTGTGTGCAGGAACTTCAGTTGAGAAGATTTTCAAAGGTGTTGAGAAGACACCAATTCATTTCTGCCTGAAATGGAATTGACATAGGATGTACTACAACTATTGGTGGTGAAAATATGTGTGCAGCAGAAAAAGATTTAGCTGGACAAATTTACAAAGACCATGAAACTATTAGATGGTTAAATTCTGAGTTTATTTATTGTGTTACACAGTAGCAGAAGCTTTTCAGAGCATTTGAATCTGTCATTGTGTTATGTGTCAGTAGTTCATTTGCTGTCATATACTATAGAAACCAAGTATCTTGCTTTACCACACAGCAGGTTAATGGCATAGCCATTGTAAAGTTTCATTTTGATATTTGGAAATCATAGTCCAGATTGCTTTTTGTTTTATTTTGGCATTTGGTTTTTGAGACAGGGTCTTACTATGAATTCCAGACTAGCCTGATACCATGTAGCCCAGGCTTTATCTCAAGAGTCTTCTGCTTCAACTTCCCTAGTGCTATGGTTACAGGTGTGTATCACCATGCCCACTGAGCCCAGATTTATGAGTGAAAAGGGCTACTTCTAGACATTGGGTTTAAGTGTTGACTGGCTTTGGAAATTAGCTTTAAAAAAAAAAAAGAAAAAAAGAAATATTGGGGCTGGAGAGATGGCTGAGCAGTTAAGAACACTGACTGTTCTTGCAGAAGACCGAAGTTCGAATCCCAGCATGCACATGGCAGCTAACAACTGTCTGTAACCCCAGTTCCAGGAGGTCCGACAGCCTCTTCTGTTCTCCACAGGCATTGCATGACACGGGCCACATGCAAGCATAACACTCATCCACATAAAATAAAAATAATAAATGAAACATTAAAAAAATAAGAAAAAAATGGAATACATATCCATTTTTCATCTTCTCTTGTTTTCCTTCTAGTTTTTGATACAGATTTAATGCTTTTTGGTGAATTCAGTGTAAGATCAAAATGCAAAATAACATTTGCATGCAAAACCTATATTGTGGTTAAGTCATTTAGACAACAAGTAATATTATAATGACAAAAATAATTTTAAAAACTTTTGAAAAGTTTAAACAAGAAGCAAGATCTCTATTCTTATACAAATTTGTAGTAGATGTAGTATCTAAGCTTAAATGATAATTCCAGTAGCATTTTTTTTCTGATTTCAATGTAAGTGCAAAAGAAATTTCTGTATTTCTAAATCTATTTAAATTTATAATTATAGAACTTCTGATCCTTATTTGGAAGTGACTGATTTGCTGTGATATGCTAAAAGACAAGTACATGAGAAGAATTGACTAGACTTATAAATAAATGCATTCTAAATGGTGAATATGTTCAACAAAAACCATGTGCTTGTGGATTGACCTCAATATTTAGCACTACTTGTTGATGTAAAGAGTTTGTAAAAAGCAGATTTGTAAAGTCTCATTTAGGGTGATATTAAAGAATTTTTTCAGTACATTTGCAAATGACATTTGCAGTACCTGTGATCATAGAATACTTTGAACCTTAATTAAGTGAAACTTTATCCTCCCCCCAATTCTTTTCGTTGTTAGACCTGTATTACAAAATAATTGGATTCAAATATAATATTTATATGTTAATAAAATGTGGAAAATTTTTGTCTTTTTTTTGTTTTGAAAGTATAGACAATTTTGCCTAATTTAGGCCCCCAAAGCCTAAAACAGATACTTTCTAGACCTTTCTGAAAAACATTGCTGTCCCTGGATTAAAGGGTAAATGTTTGGCTTGGTCTTACCTAACTAAGAATTATTCTCTTTGACTTAGATTGCTCTCTCTTTAGTAATAAGTCTGCTAGCGCATGAAAAATGTTGTAGAGTAAAAGTCTTTTTTTCTGTTTGTGTTTGATTTCTTAAAAAAATTACATTGTATACTTTGAGTATTCAGGTGTTTGCTACTATAATCTCAATGAAAAGGTAATTATATATTTAACTAAAAATTAGGAACAGTTATCTCAATTCTACTTGAAAGCATGTTTAGAGCAAGACATAATTCATTTCATTCAGAACCGTATTCCTAGTTAAATATGTTTACAGAAAAAATAGAAACTTGAACTTGTAAAACTTGACATTGACTTAAGGGGTACCTCTTTAAGTTAAAAAAAATTTTATTTTCTGTGTACGAGTGTATTGCCTGCATGTGTGTAAATTCATGGAGACTAGGCTGGCCTCAAACTCAAAAAGATCCACTGGCTTCTGTCTCTTGAATGCTGATATTAAAGGTGGGGGCCATTGCCTTTAATATCTTCTAAAATGATTTTTTAAAAAATATCTTTTAAAATGATTCTTCATGTTCCATTATGCCAACTTAAATAAGCAAGACAAATTTTAGAAATGTTTAGTTTTGAAAAGTCACTGATATTCCTCTCTAAGGCTCTTCTCAGGAATAATGATAATGATTTTCAAAAGATGATTTTTTTATTGGTGACTTAACAATAAAACAAATTATGCACTTCTTACAAACAAAAACATTTTTTATTGCCAGTATATAAAAGGAGAGTTGGTATTAATTTTGTAAATTAATGTGGGTAGAATGTTCAAAAAAGAGTAAGCTATTGTTTCTGAAGACATTAAGAATGTATATCTATATAAAGTCCATTTAAATTTTTCCCAAGAGGCTTGAGAAACATAATATAGGCAAAATATGAAAAGTATGGGTAGACATTAAGACAATTTTTATTCAACACATGAGATAAATTTAGAGAAATCCTAAAATGAGAAGGTTTTCTTGTGGTTGCTTCATTTAAGATGATTCAGTCTCATATCTAAGTATCTTAAGATCTGATTTAGCTTTTGTATATATCTTGTTTTCTAGACGAAGCATTGGATGATTTAAAATCCCAGAAGAAAAAGATAGTAAGTTAACTTTTATTTAAAATTAATTTATATAAACTGATAAGAACTGGATAATTAATGCTTGTATATTACAACTTAATGACTTTTCAAGGACCAAATATGCTTTTTGACAGTATTTTAATGTTGAAATTAAATTATTATTTTTTTAGAGTTAATAACATATGAAAAGGTATATGGACTTTTTAAAATTCTGAGAACTTATGTCAGTTGAAAACTGAGAAATAAGTAAATGAATCTAAGTGGAGAACTAAATGAGGCAGAAATGGTATGAAGGTAGGTACCCAGATTGTTTATTAGAGCCAGAAATGGAACAGATGTCTACATATGTTCTTAGGTTTTGATATGAATTTAATATGAAGCAGAGAGAGAGAGAGATTAGTTCAGAATGAAAAGACTAAAACAAGAAGTTATATATATATATATACACACATATATTTCTTTTACTTTATACCAGCAATGCTGATCACATCCTTAAGTTATTTGTATAATTTAAAAGCAATCTTTCTTGTTTGTTTTCAGAACCAAACACATTGCAATTGATGCTTTATACTCAATATTAAAATATTTTACAGCACAATTCCAATATATTATAATACAAAGAGAAGTGTTCGCTTTTCCATACTTATTGTTTTAAAATTGTTACAATTAGTATCTGTTGCCTGTATTTTATGTGAGGCATCCATACAGGTATGTGTGAATGAGTCTGACTCATGTGTATTGTGTAGCATAAATACTAGTTGTATACTTGAAAGTATGTCACCTCTTCTTTCTTTCATTGTGATTACATTGTTTAAAACAAATTTTCTTTTATACATGTTCATTCTTGATTTTTTTAATAAAAAAGCAGTTTTAGTTTGATTTTTTTTTAAACAATTGAAAAAAGAAAACCCCAAAACTTTTATCATTGAAATGACCCTGGGAAGAATAAGCCTAAAATTAACCAAGTCCTAACTCTTCTCTTTGATTAGCAAAATTATTGTGTTATATTTATTACTTAATATTTTGTTAGGTTATTTCCTTAAGGATACATCTTTTTAATCTGAATAGATTTGTAATGTAATTTGAAATGCATAAAAGTGTAACTTGTAATGATAACAGTTACCAATTGATTAGAAAGTTACCTGGTAGAAAAATGCATAGCATTTTAGGAGTGTTTAAATTTCAATAGTTTAATGTATGATTTACTTATGAAAATAAAGCTAGGAATTAGCTTTCATTATTTAAAAAATTCAAAATCTGGTTGTGTACATTATGCTAATCATGTTTTATGGTCTTGAAATTTTTTCAGTTTTTTTTTTAAATCACAGAGCAGAGTACTATATACAATAGATAATCCCCCTGAATTTGTGATTATTCATCCTTCAAAGTAATCAGAAGTCAAAATCCATCAAAATACATGAATCAAAATTATTACCTCTTTAAGTGACTTAATTAATGAATGTACTTTGTGCTTTATTCCTGTCGTGGCACTTCTTAGGAAATAGTGTTTATCTGAATCCTTAGAAAAATCAGTTAAGGAATTGGGAACATGAAGGAAAATGCTACGATTGTCTGAGAATTAACATTTGTCTCTTTAAGTACAGTTATTACTGATTCAAAGAACTCCACTGTTGTTAGTTGAAAGCATATTGAGCTGTAGGTTAATGTTGATATCTCCGGGAATCTATAGCCCAGAAGCATGTAGAAGAGAAGTGGCAAACTCGGGTCAGCCTGGGTTTTGTGGCCATGTTGTAGGTGTGCTTTTATGACTCAGCCTCTCATTAATGATGAATCCTTCTTACAAATAAATACTGTTTATCTTAAAATTTTTTCATTGGGGGCTAGAGAGATGGCTCAGCAGTTAAGAGCACTGACTGCTTTTGGAGAGGACTAGGGTTTGATCGGTTTGATTCCCAGCACCCACATGGCAGCTATGAACCGTCCTTAACTCCAGTTCCAGGGGAATCCAACGCCCTCTTCTGACATATGCTCCATTGCACAGCACGGGTGCACTCACATACATGCAGGCAATATACTTATACACATAAAATACTAAAAAATAATGCATAAAAATTTAAAATTTCATTGTATATCGTCATTGTACATGGTACTGTATCACATAAGGACATATTCATACAAGTATAATTGTATGTTGAGCCTGTTCCCCTCTGTCCTCCCTGTTGTCCCCCTCACATTGGTCTCTTTTGTTCCCATAGAAAGTTTTATTTCTCTTTCATGTCATACAGATACATGATTTTATGTATCTGTATAAAACCTAGGAACCACATATGAGAGAACATATCGGATATTTGTCTTTCTGGGACTGACTTAATTTGCTTAATATGCTATTCATTTGTAACTTTGCTGTCCAAATCAGTAGCCTCAAGCCCCATTTGACTATTTAAATTTATATTACTTAAAGTGAAATAAAACTGACAATTGAGTTCCTGAATCATAAAACACCAATTTAAGTGCTTACTTGCCACATTCATCTTAGTGACTCCTATTGTGCCTGTCTTTATATAAAGTACTGTTGCATAACACTGGTTTTAAAAATCATTAAGCATCAGGGAGTTAGTTCTTTGTTATTCCATGATGATGTTGATTTGGGGTTATGTTTCATGATATTCCTTCTCTCCCTCCATCCCTAATTTTCTCTAGTCTAAAGTGGATTTTACATCAGAAAACTTGACTTGCTTATCCTGAGGATTTATTATAATTTTGAAATAATTAGCAAAATATTTTACTTTTACTAAATTGAAGTTAATAAAGCATTCATCTAAGGACTTAGCTTTTTAGATGTTGAAGGTTTAATGAGGAATTTGTTAATTTCTATTGTGGCAGGATTTTTTTTTTTTGAAACAGGGTCTCCTTGTAGCCTCAGTTGGCCTGGAGCTCACTATGTAGACCAGGCTGGCCTTGAACTCACAGAGATCTACCTCCCAAGTGCTGGGACTACAGGTGTGCGCCACCACACCCAGCTCAGTGGCAGGACTTTTTAAAAGCAATTTATTTGTTTTTCTGAGACTTGGTCTCATTATGTAGTGCTGGTTGACCTGGAACTCACTGTGTAGACCACACTGGTGTTGAACTCAGAGATCCACCTGCCCTTAACTCCAGAGTGCTGGGATTAAAGGTGTGCACCACCCACACCTATCTTTTTAAACTATATTTTAACTAAGTAAATGTGGTCTGGGTTACATTTTATATGACTGATAATTAAAGAAGAGGTTATGAAATTAAGAAGGGGCGTCATGGGAGAGGGAAGAGGAAGTGTATTAGTAATTTCTTTTTCCGTGATAAACCACCATGACCATGGCAGCTTACAGAAGAAAGAGTTTATTTGGCTTACATTTCCAGAGGGATGAGTCCATCATGGTGGGGAGGCATGGCAGGAGGCAACTGGAGCTGATTTTTTTTTTTTTTTTTTTTTTTTTTTTTTTTTTTTTTGGTGTTTTCGAGACAGAGTCTCCCTGTAGCCCTAGTTGGCCTTCAACTCTCTATGCAGACCAGGATGGCCTTAAACTACTAGAGATCCATCTGCCTCTGCCTCCCAAGTGCTGGGGCTACAGGCGTGCAATGCACCGGCCAGAGCTCACATCTTTAATTAAGCAGGCATAGGAAGCAGAGAGACAAACTAGAAATGGGGCAAGGCTATGAACTCTCAAAGCCAATCCCCAGTGATGTGCTTCCTCTAGCAAGGAAGGTTGTGCCTTCTAAATCTCCACAAATAGCACTACCAACTGGGGCCAAGTATTTAAATACTTGGCTCCTATGGGGAACATTCTTCATTTAAATCACCACGGGGGGTGGGGGGGATGGAAATGATGGAAATGATAATAAGCAAATACTCATGTATGATAGTCTCAAAAAATAAAAAAAAATATAGATGTCCCTTGGAATGTATAGGACATGTAATGAACAAAAGTAGTTATGGTGGCCACTGAGAAGGAAAAGGTCTTGTTCCAGTTTTTCCAAAAGCATTTTGTGCATTAGTTGTCATAACTGTGACTGTCTTGTACTGAGGTTCAACTTTTTCTGGATGTTGGGCCATAATTGCTAAAATACTTTACTAGTGATTACTTTTAAAATTAAACCCATGTATTAAGCTATAAAGTGACTTTAGTGCATTGTAAAGTACTGTAAGAAATGAAGTACTATAAAAATGAAATATTTTTAATTACAGTCCCTAGTGTGAGCATAGAACTCAGTAAAATTTTTACTTCAATTCTCTGTTCATTTTTCCCCCCTAAAGTTGTTTGAATCCAAGTTTTTTTGTTTTTTTTTTTTAAAGAAAGATGGAGGGGGTTAGCCTTTAAGTTACTTGAATACATTCCATGGCTGTTCTCCCAGTTAGTGAGTTTTCACTGCATTTGCAGCAAGCTAATTGCTTCTGCTAATAAATAATCTAAAATCGATGCTGACAGCAGTTAATTGGCACAGAGATTTTATTTTGTAAAGCTCTTGGCTAACGACCTTCTTAAATTAATAGCATTAAGTGCTATGAGGAAATAAATCTGAGGAATTGCCTGTCATTTGCTTGTCATGTCTAATAACTTCCAATAATGATGGCTGATAGATTTTTGCACATTCCATTATTGAAGTTGGTGCATGTAATTATTCTTCTCATTATATGTAAACAATTAGCAATATTTGGTATTTCCTTGCAGTAAAACTGTTAAATACAAGTAATGTATTAGTGGTTAGAAACCATTTTAAAAACTGAAATTTAATTATTTGATTGCAGAAAATCTTTCTATTTGTATATATTTATTGGATCTAAGTACAGAAAGGATGGGGAGGACTTTGGCTCCCTTGATTGTAAGAGTGATACTTTAATGCTTTTTGAATAAAATTTATAAAAATAAGTGATAATATGTTTTCAAAATGTAACAATCTGTAAATTTTTGCTTGTAGCTTGAAGAAGTCATGGAAAAAGAAACTTATAAGACAGCTAAATTAATTCTTGAAAGGTTTGATCCAGACTCAAAGAAAGCAAAGGTAAAATTGTGATATTACTAATTTTACATTATAACTTATATATTGCAATAGGGAACTATATAATTTAAACATTATTGTAATTGACAGGAGTTTGAGCCGCCATCTGCTGGAACAATTGTAACGGCAAAACCTGGACAAGGTAAATAACTTTGTAGAAACTCCTGCTGCTGTTGGAAAGATCCATATTTACCCACGTGAGTTCACAAGTGTGTTGGTGGTGTGTAAAAAAGTTATGTAGACTGCTTTTATATTAACTTATACTTGGTAATTTGAGATATGATTTAGGGAGATGATAGTAATTTTATTTCATTTTTATTTTGTGGAAATATGTTGATGTTAGGATACTGAATATTCATTGAGATTAAAATAAATAATTAGTTTTGATCTTTTGAGATTTAAGTAATTTCATCAATATTTTATAAGCTTTTCCCCCTTCAAATAATAATCTATTAGAATATCTGTTTTGAAAATTCTTAATTTTTATGATAAAATTCTTACATTTTTTGGGGAATAGAATGAAGATTTTTGTCAAATTTGAAATTTGTTCTAAAATAACTCATTGACTTAACAAAATAATAAAATAGTTTAAAAATGAGAAAAAAGGAAAATTAAATTCTATATAACAACTTTTTGAAGTTTCATTACCATACCATTATCATTATATCAAGTATTATGTAAAATTTCAGAAATCATTTTATTTTTATTATTTATATTTAAATTTATTTATTGTGTATATGTGTGTATATGCTTATGATGTGTACGTGTGTGGGGGGGGGTCCCCCTGTGCCAGGGCTTATGTGTGGAGGTTAGAGGATACCTTAGTGGAGTTGGCTCTCTTCTTCCTCCTTTGCATAGTTTATGGATGATTGAACTCAGGTCATTAGGCTTATGAGGCAAGTGCTTTGCCTGCTGAGCGATCTTGCTAGTCCCCAGAAGTCATTTTAAACAGTTACCTGAAATATTCCTGAAAGTGGCATGTGAAAACATATTTTTGAGTTCATAGTAATCCCTTTTTTCTACTAGAATCTATTAAAAGAGTTTATAAGGTTTTTGATGTAATATAGGACATACTGCAAAGAAAAATGTAACGTCCATTCATCCAGAATTGTAGCCTTGTTTTAAAGTTACCAAAATAATTAGCTTTGAAAAGTGAATCTTTTCTTTTGTTAATTATTTATTTAATAACCACATACTTAAGAAGAATCATTTCATTACAACAGCATTGCATCTTTTTTCAGAATTGACTGTAAATTTTTAGGTGTACAGTTGAATTATTGTAGTTATACAATATTGTGCTCAGTATAAACCCTATAAGACATAAAGTTAAATGAGGTTTTAACCTTTAAAAAAGATCTCCATTTCACTATTAAAATACACAGTTTCATACAGAAAAATTCATTTTGGATGCAACTGACATTAAGATGTTTGCACATGTGTTTCTAATCTCTATATATCTGATTATTACTAGTGATTGTCAGTTACTTTCTTAGCTCCTGGGCATCTGAGCATGGATATAAAGTCATCAGGTAGATTTCAGTGGTAATGTTTTTCACATCTACTAATTATTATTATTTTTTTAATCACAATTTTTAAAATTTTTAATAAATACATGATTAGAAGCATTTCACAACAGATTTAACATATTCAGTAACACACTCCAGAGCAAGAGTACATCTCTTTCACAAGTGAGTGCAAGTTTCTAAGTTCACAGTTGAGTTAATACAGTTATACAATATTGAACTCAGTATAAGCCCTGTAAAACATAAAATTGAATGAGTTTTTTAACCTTTAAAAAAGATCTCCATTTCATTTTAGAATATATTGTTCCTTGCAGAAAGACTCATTGTTTTTGCTACTAACACTGAGATGTTGGCGCATGCATTTCTAATCTGTATGTATCTGATTATTACTAGCCATAATGGTTGTACTTGGATCCTTGGCGCCTGTGTATGTCTATGAAATCATCGGGTAGATTTTAATGGTAATGTTTATCACCTCTACTAATTAGCATGATGTAAATTTCCATGCTTCCTCCTCAAATATAGTACATTCTTAAAAATTTGTTGTGTGTGTGTGTGTGTGTATGTATCACACAGAATATCCCAAACCATCTTACTCAATATACAACCACTTCCCAGATGGCACTCTCCGATACCCTCCCTCCCCCAACTAGAGCCCTTATACTCTGATATCCCTGCTACTGTCTGCTGTGTTGTCGGCACCCCCAGCCATTCCCCACTACTTGCCCTTCTGATGGATCTAGTCACCCTATCTAGAGATCTTTCTTTTAGGAGGGTCAGCTGTTCCTCATCTAGCAGTAATCAGTTGTCAATATTCCTTTAGATAAGATTGAGGTCTGCTGTTCATTTTCCCAGTTCTATGCTGGGTTAGTATCTGGAGTCCCTTTGGGCACCCTGGCCAACAACTCAAAAGAAGGTATCTCCTCTCTGGTATTGCTGTGTGTTTTGTAGCCTTTAGCTATGAACATGGACTCTTAATAAACATATGGACTCTTAAAAAATTATATTGGCCCCTTTAATCTTTGGTTATACACTCTTTTTGGGCATTTAAGGTCGTACAGTTGGCCCAGATAAACCAATCTGTTTTCACTCTTAAGGCCGTTTGAGGATCTGTTCCTCAGGGGTCACATGGGCTTGGGAGGCGCCCCTGGCTCCTTTCTTTTATCAGTTCCGCCTATGTGAAGATATGTCCAAGGTCCTGCTCAACCATGGTTGTCTTTGCTTGGAAACCTGGAGGAAATGATTCCTTTGTATTGACCCTCCTCTTTGTAGACTGGACACTGGTTCAAGTCCATCTGGTGGTGTCTCCTTGGCCTCCTTGATCAATAAGACCCACCACAATTACAGGACATTTTGAGAGATGCTCATAGTCCCCTGGAACTAGTCGACCTGGGAGGGCAAGGAACAGAAACTGTCCTTTATGTCCCTCTGGCCAAATTATTATAGGCCTGAAAGTGTATCTGTTAAATATCCAAGAAGGTTAGTTCCACCAGTCTGGTACTTTTAATTACTGTGTGCCATGTAGATAAATCTTGGGCAAAGACCAATTGTTCTCAGATAAACCTTACCTAGACATATATTTCTTGATCTGCTATGTATAATTTATCAGTAGGTTGTTGTTAGTGAGGGTGAGATTGGTGGGAGGTGTAACTGGGAGGTTGAAGAAAGGTAATGAAAGAATTCTTTAGGTGAGAGATAATAAATAGATGAGAGAAATGTACGAATGCCAGAGTATCTCAAGGATATGCAAAATTAACAGTCATGATGTTGAAACATGAGTTTCCCGCTATGCATGTTTTTCTGTTCATCTGCCATGGCTACAGGTATGGAATAGTCAGATAGTTTGTTTTTATCAGTGTTGAGGTTTGGACTAATGACTTAGGTAAGTTGATGAAAGACTAAGGAGGCAAATTTATATGTAATTAAATTGTATCACTATAACAATAGATAATAACTTTTATGTGGGGGTGTTTTATAGCCAAGGCTGGCCTCAAATTCTTGATGTTTCTGCCTCAGTGTCCCAGTGCTGGGATTACAAGGGTTTGCCACCATGTCTAACTACATCAGATTGTGGAATCTGAGATAGTCATGAGGGAAATAAAGACATAAGAATAGTAAATAGTAAAAAGGAGTTGGAGCCTGGAAGTTACGTATTGTAAATTGTAAACGTGGACCACAACCTGCTTCGTTTGTGTTTTTGTATTTATAGTTCTTCAGCTTAGAATGGTTTTTTACACTTTTAGGCAGTCTTAAAAATTGTAAAAAAGAATGTGCAACAGAGATCCTATATAGTCTGCAAAGTCTAACCTGCTTACTACCTGTCTTATTTTGGTTTCTGTTGCTGTGGTAGAACACTAACCAAAACTGACATGGGGAGGAAAGGGTTTATTTCATCTTACAGCTTAACAGTCCAACATTGAGGGAGCCAAGGCAGGAACCTGGAGGCAGGAACTGAAGCAGAGACCATGGAGGAATGCTGCTTACTGGCTTGCTTCACAACTTGCCCAGCTATCTTTCTTATATAGCCCAGACCTTCTCAGAAATAGCATCTCCCACAGTGGACTGGGCCTTCCCATATCAATTTGCAATTTAGAAAGTGTTTCATAGACATTGCCAGTGTGATCTGGACAATTCTTTTTTCTTTTTACATAAAAAAATACTTTTATTGATTCTTTGAGAATTTCATACAATGTATTTCAATCCTATTTGAACCTCCTTCAGAACCCCTCCCCCATATCCTCTCAGACCCACCCACACCTTCCTATTCCCTCTTTCTTCATGTCCTCTATTATTTTTTTTAAAGGCATATCAAGTCTAATTTGTATTCCCCAAATGCTCTTGGGTGTGAGTCTGTCCCTTGGATCCTGTTCAACCTACCCAGCATCACCACCATACCCTTAAAGAAAACTCTTTCTCCTAGCAGCTATCAATTTCTAGTAGATCCTCAGCTAGCTCTAGGACTTCTTTCCCACCTCCCCCATCCATTCTGGGTTTTTGTAGCACAGTCTTGTGAATGCTCTCACAAGTGCTGTGGGTTCATATGTGCAACTGCCCAGTTATGTCTGGAAAACATGGTTTCCTTGTATTTATCTACCACCGCTGTCTCTCACAATCTTTGCTCCCTCTTCCCCAATGATCCCTGAGCCTTGGGGTTGGAGGAGGAGAGGATGTGATACAGGTGTCCTATTTAGGGCTGAACATTCCAGTCTCTTTATTCCCCAAATGTTGACCAGTTTGGGTCTCTGTGTTAATCACCACTTACTTCAAAAAACTTCTCTGATGAGAGATGAGAGATAGATTAATGTGTGGGTGTATCATGCCATTAGGAGTTGGTTTAGTACCATTTCCATTTAGTAGTAAGTTCTTCCCTACAGCCTGTGACCTCTCTACTCACAGGTTCTTGGCCCTGATAAGAGTGCTAGGTATTGGCTCCATCTTGTGGATTATACCTGAAATCCAATCAGAAAGTGGTTTGTTACTCTCATAACATTTGTGCCACTATTGTCTCATGGGCATATCTTGCCAGGCCAGTTGTTACTGTAGCTCACAGGGTTCACAGCTGGGTAAGATTGGTCGTTATTTTTCTCTTCTAATAGTAGAAGAGGGAGTATGGGAAGGG